AGGCTATCAAAATGAAGTTTGGATTAGACAACTGTGTGATTCTTCAATAAAGAGAGGTTGCCCGGTAGCGGGACAGACACTGAAGCTCATGGATGGAATCGAAATAAACCACCTATCGGCGGGAGAAAATTCTAAGCACCTAAGGTTCCAGCAAGCAATGAGCATCAAAACAAACCTGATGGAAAAAAAAATAAAAGCAGAGTTGAGAAGGAGACTTCAGACTTCAACTGGTACTGAAAACCGAACTCAATGCAAAAAATACTTTTACTGCCATTAATACCTGGGCGTTGCCAGTGGTAGAGTTCACATTTGGGGTTCTAAAATGGACTGACACTGACCTTCAAGAAATTGATAGGTTAGTACGCACAACACTTACCTCATACAGAAGTCATCCTCCGAAATCTTTTTCTGCGCGACTGTATATCGCTAGGCAAAATGGCGGTCGTTGTCTCTTCTGTCTGAGAGCGCGCTATCTGAAACAAAACAATGAGGAAGTCAAACAATAAATGGCCAGGCAGGCTTCTGCCTGGAATCGGCAAAGTCTTGATAGGGATGGACACACGAATGCGGTTTACACCCACTCTATTTAGAGGAAATGGTCCAATAATCCCACACTTACAATTTATTCCGAAAACCAAAGCAGCAATACCTATTTATTTGCCAAAACTTTGAATTGACTCTCCTCAGAAAAATGTGGTACCAACCACACAAAATTGAGGTTCGCATTAGATACAAGAATATAATATTCATATTTTCAGGTAGATAAGATATCAGGTAATAAAAACCCAACAGTGATAGTAGACACTGATGGTGAAATAGAACGAAAAATATTAAAGGAAAATCTGGAAATCTGAAGAAAAAAAAAATTACAAAGTGAGAATCAACTTGCCTGTTTAACGGTCTGCCAGAGAAGAGATCTTTTTAAAACCCAATTCCCTTGAAGAAAGCCAGTCTTTTTTTTTTATACTTAAGTGCGTAGTAACCATTGAACCAATCAGAAGACAACACTCAACACACACAAAAGATACCGTCTTCACTTCATTAATAAAACACTACGCTGATTAGAAAGGAATAGATAGAAACATACTAGAATTATTTTAATTGTTTACAAATTATAATGATTTGAATTGGTTATGTTAGAAACACAAAACCACTAATTAAATAGGTCATCAATTTAAAAATAATCATGTAGATTGTAGATTTCGGGAGAGTCGTTTCGGCTTTTCTGCCGCTCAGCACTGCTACCTTTGCAGATATTTTGTGCGTGAGTCTGCATCTTAATTTGTCTCCAGGAAGCGTAGACTTCTGCCGAAGGAAGCTATTTTCCTGGGTGTCAGTTGGCCCACTTCTTCTGGTGACAGTGTTGCCCCCTCGAGGAATTTGAGCCTCTTGCAGAATTGGGCTGGACATTCGCAGAGCAGGTGCTCTGCGGTTTCTATTGCGTCTGAGCAGAATCTGCAGAGATCGTCTTCCGCTCTGCCCATTAACCTTAAATGGTATTTTACTGGGCAGTGTCCTGTGAGCAGTCCCACCACCAATCTGATGTCTGGTCTGCTCATGTTTAGGAGCTGTTCAGCTCTTTTTGCTGAAAGGGTAATAAACCTTTTTCACTGTCTGAGTCCCGGTTAAAAATAATCATTCAGAATCATTCAGAATCATATCATCATAATTTCTCCAAATAAAAATATCAATGAAGTTAGTTAAAGAAACCTAACACAATTTTAAAATAAATTTATTGGGTACTAGATGGCGGTACGTTAGTACTTCTATTAATAACAGATATTTGCATTTTTATGCTCATTTGATTTATGTATAAATGGCAATACTGATATTATATTGAATTAATTGAATTTAGTAGATACTTTTCAAATTGCTTAAGTTATGAATTATCATTTTGCTGATTCTGAAATGGCGAAAATACAACTTTATAATGAAAATTAGAAGAAATGGAACATGTTACGAAAATGATAAATTTATCGCAACAATTGACAGCCTTCTACGCCCCCTTAAAACGTCCGAATTCTTATAAGAAGTTCAAAACACTTCAAAAAGCAGGGACCATCTAAATTTTTCCTAATACGATTAGACTATAAGCCGAGAAAGCTCTCAAAAGGTTTTATCGTAACTATGGAATTTTCTATTGTCGTATCTTTTGCACTCTACAATAAATTGATTCGTAGGTAAGTGATTTTTTAATGGGAAAAAATGTAGTCGGTCACGACGTCACGACGCACAATTGGAGTATAAAATTCCCTATTGATATTCCCCGCCCTCTGCGAAAGTGTTAAATTAAAGCGTTAATCGTCCGACTTCCTATAAGAAGTTCACACTACAAAAAATTAACGGTATCGTTTTATTTACAGAAAGTAGCTTTTGTCCTTTAAGTAAAACACAGATAAAAATAAAATAAATTGATAATTTGTGTGAAATATTTGTTGCTTATGAAATATCAAAAGGTAATAAAAAAAACAATAAAAATAAAATTCCTTAAAGCAATCCGTTTGATAATAAGCTATTATTATTAAAAATTTTATGCAATACGTTTTGCAGTATTCGATACCTACCACAAAAATTCTTGTGCAATCTTTTTTTTAATATCCGAAATTATTTTTTTGCCGTACTTCCTGTTGGTTTCTGGGTCGAGATCACGTTTTTCAAATAACTCAGTCATTAGATACATAAAGTTACAATTTGGACAATCCAGCTGATAATTGTAGAGACTAGATTTCGATTTTATCCCGCAAGAGATACCTATATTTGATAATTTAACTTTCCCATGGGATTGTGAATTTGACATTAAAGAATGATAATACCTGATCAAAAGAGGATGTGCAATATTGACTCGGGTTTCCTAAATACAATATCCGCATAGTATTGCATGTTAAAGTAATTGTAAATAACTGATCAAGTGCTAAGAAAGGGCATCACTCATACACTGTATTTGTGATCATTAAGTAGGTAGGTACATAACCTAACAAATGAACATGTACAGTAGTTATTTGTCAATAGTTAGTAGTCAAGGTAACATGTGAATTATTAGGTATTGAAAAAACAAACATAACATAAGCCTCCAATTTCTTATCCCATTTTGTACTTCTTATTGTTTCAAGTCAAATATACAAAAGCAAGTATACTTATTATTGAGAATCGAACGAGACGCTTGAGAAGCACGTCATGTTGGATCATCGTTTTTGATTTCAATTTCTTTGAGGTTTACTGGTCCATAAAATAAACATAATTTTTTAAAAGTAATTAGCAAATCATCTGATACGAAATCTAAATGCTCTCGTGATATTTTGTCACATTGAAATTAATGCTAATTTAGGCTACTGCTTAGATAACAACAACTCAAAGGGTCGCACCTGAAGAACAAAATATAATGCTTCAATTTCTGGAAAAAATAACGAAGTGGGAAATATTTCTACTTTTCAGTCTCTTTTTATTTTATTCTAGGTCGAACCGGCTGACATAGGAAAAAGGCTAGCGGGTGGATCTAATTTCTATTTTATTAGAAATACGAATAGCAAAGACATGAGAAAGTAATACCTAAGTGTGAAAGATAGGTTAGGTTTCATGTTCCTGAGTGACGGAGTTGAGATGCAATTGAATTTGAATCACAAAACCTTACTAGAACGTGAAAATTCGAATTCGTTCGTGGAAGAAACAATATTGCATGAAATTACTTAGACTATTTCACTAGAGTGTTTAGTGTTTTACACTGGCAAAATGTCATAGGAACGGCCTGTTTCCTACTGAAAAAACTCCCACCTGCTCCCATCTGGACAAAACCAACATGATGGTTTTTTAGCGACAAAATTTAGTTAGGTTGGAGTAAAAAACTAGCGAGTTTGACAAGTGTCACCTAAAGAAAATAAATATTCTAAATGAAAATTTGGTTTGTTTTTCTCGTCAAATAGTCTAGCCGAATACTACTCAAGAACAATTATGTAGGCAAAATTATTCTCCTGGTCCTCATGAAATTCCCGAGCAAGAAACTTTCATACCAGTCGAAAATATTGCCTACAAAATTTGTCCTCTTTTGGTTATGGCGCATCAGAATTAAAAGTGAACCCTAAAAAACTGATGATCACATTTTCAGTGCATTCTATTGAAAAGTATAGGTCTAACTAATGGAACTGTCTAAATTCGTCAGAAATGAGAAACTCTGATTCAAAACTGTTAGTCGTCGTCAGATTGGATCATTCTCTTGGTGCGCTTAGTCAGAAAATCTCTAAACTCAGTGTCTGGGGTCAAATAGAGACTCACTCAAGGACGGACTGGCCCGGAAATTGGAAGCGTTTATGATAATTTCTACTGAGAAAGATTTACTCATGTCGTTAGACAATGACGAGATTACCGATAATGTAGCTAAGACTAGCGAAAACCTCAATAATATGCAATTTTTTCTTAAGAAACAAATACAATCCGTAGACAATTAGGTATTAAGAATTGATTTATTTTTAAGAAAAAAATCTTTTTTATAACTTTTCTTGTTGTGTTCTACTTTCTGTTCTAAATGAAGTGTCGTAATTCATTATTATCTGTCGATAATATATGATTAGCCTAACTTTCAACTTTTTCTTGATGATGGCGCCCCATCTAGGAAATTGCCCGCCGTAATTTCAGAACCCAGACCGTCCCTGGAATCATGCTTGAAAACGGTTGAGAGTGAAAATACTTCAAGTCGTTTATTCATTCCAGCCTGATAAATAGGTACATAAAACTCCATTAATACAATTATTAAAATTTTCTAGCTATAAGCCAAGCTTCTAGCTATTAGTCATCCATAATGCACGCGAAAAAAAATAAAACTTTGTCGGTAGGTACTCGTACAAAACGCAAACCTTCTGTTATCAAAGCTAAGTTGAAATTGTTGAGCTCATAATTAGTTCCAGTATTGTACCGGCAAACTTAATTTAATTCGTTGAAAAAAATGTTACGATTTTTTTATGTATATTCTCACATATAAGATGTTCTATAACAAGCTTTTTTTATTACAGGTCGGGTTGACAGTCAATACTTGGGAAAATTCCTTGGTAAACTTTCAGAACTGCATCACGGAGTTGCGGGAGAGGTGTATGCGGTTGACGGCAGAACTTTGCACATAAAGGATTTCACTTACGATGGCCAAGGCCCAGGTAAGTTTTGTTAGAAGTTTTATAAACTACTTAGGTACTTTCTTGCTATTTAGCAACTGAGACAATATATTTCCGCAAAATTTCTTGTGCTAGGTTATTTTAGGTATTCAAAATCTTAAAGTATAATAAGTAACTGGAGTAGGGCTTTATTTGATTGGTTAGATTTTATTTTCGACAGTTCAAAAACACACTTTTTGTCTATCAAATTTGTTAAGCTATTGCTAATATCAACTGGTAATATCACGAAAAATCCGACGAACGATCTATGAGAACAAGTACTAAAAGGAATACATTATGAAGCTACATACGACCTGCAAGACTCCCACTTATAGACGCTGAAAGTGCAAGACTCACAACTTTCAATACCAACCCCAAAATATTTGGAACTTTTTTCTAAAGTATAGAATGGTATTCCAAAAGTAACGTAATATTTCAAATAAACTACGCGAAATTTCAGTGGAATTACGCAGAATTCCAAGCAATGAGGTGTAATTACAAAGAAATTACGTGAAATTCCAAGGAAATCTAGTGAAATTACATGGAATTTTAACGAGAGTTTTCTAGTATTTGAGTTATGTCATGTGACTCATAACAGAACAGTGGTGTTATGGGCTAGGTTATGAATTCATAACACAACTATATAGTGGTGTTATGGACTAGGTTATGAATTCATAACACAACTATTTTTGGTCATTTGACAAATGTCAAAGTTCAACCTGAACTTATTGGATTAAAATTTAGTACCAAAATGTATGGAATTAGAAACCCCTCCACAGAATGATGTATCACTTAACCCCCCTTTCCATTCAAGATTTTTTAGGTGGTGGCTCTGTAGGGTTGCCAACCCTCCCGATTTAGGCGGGAGACTCCCGCTTTTTTGTCATGTCTCCCGCCGTAAAACATTATTATTATTAGTTACAACAGTAAACGGTTATGACCGATGAAACTGTTGTCATAATTTCCGTGGTTCTTTTTTGGCTTTTCAAAATATTCAGCTTGTTCATTTACAGTCCGAAGTGAATGTTCACACTAGTCAGCACTTCCCGTTGATTATCTAGTCTGTTTTTGAATGAGTTAATACTTGGAGCGCTCACAGTGTTTTCCGATAATGCATTCCAATGATAGACAATTCTATTTGTCAAAAAGTTTTTACGGGGTAGTTTTGCGTTCTTCTCTTTTTCCAGTTTTTTGCTGTGTCCTCGAAGGTGTATGTTTGCATTCGCATGGAAGATATTAAGAGTAGCATTATAATATGGTTTTTAAATTTTGTAGGTCTCAATAAGATCTCCTCTTAAACGCCTTTCTCGTAGAGTTGTCAATTTAAGTCTTTGTAGTCTTGTAGTATAGTCTAGTCTGTGATAATTCTGGTGGTATTCTTGTTACACGTCTTTGAACTTTTTCTAATAGCTCGATGTCCTTTACAAAGTAAGGGTTCCATATTGTTTCGCCATATTCTAGTTTTGGCCTAATATAAGTTTTATATAGTTTCAATATGGTGTCCATTGAGTGGTCTGAAAATGCTTTTTGGATGCAATAAATGAACGAGTTTGCTTTTTTTCACTATCCTATGAATGTGTGGTTCCCATTTGAGGTCTGCGCTGATGATGACGCCTAAATCACTCTGTTGATCGACGTTATTTAGATTGGTACCATTTAGTGAATAGGGTATAATTGTGTTGTTTATTCCAATACTGAGTACTGTGCACTTCTCTTCGTTTAGTTTCATGCTCCAGGTTTTTGCCCATTGCTCTATTCTATGAAGATCTTCTTACAGCTCTTTAGACTTAGTTCTGGAGTTTGCAAACAGCTTGGCGTCATCGGCAAAAAATATTATACGTGTTTTTATTTCCATTGCTAAGTCGCTGATATATTCTGAAAAGAGCAGAGGACCAAGCACTGTACCTTGAGCTATCCCGCTGAGAGCCACATGTACGTCAGAGAGTACTCCATTTATTCTTGTTTGAAAAGTTCTTTTTTTCAAAAAGAAGGAAAGACAACCAAATAGATTACCACCAATACCATAGTGGTCTATTTTATGAAGCATTTTATTGAATGGTACTTTGTCAAATGCTTTCTCAAAATCTAAGTAGACGATGTCGGTTTGTTCATTCTTATCAAAGCTTTGTGTCCAGGTGTTCAAACAAGTTGTGAGGTTGGTAATGGTTGACTTTTTTGGAAGAAATCCATGTTGGTGATCTGTGATGGCCCCATTTTCAAGGAGGAATGGTGTTAATTCTTTTGTGATGACCTTCTCAAAACATTTGCAAATATTGGAAGTTAAACTTATTGGTCTATAGTTGGAAGGTAGTTGTTTATCGCCCTTTTTGTAAAGTGGGGTTACAATAGCATGTGTCCATATGTCTGGTAGTCTTCCACTCTCCATTATCTCATTCATGGCGTCTGCTAGAGGTTTCGTAATTGCTTCGTTGCAATTTTGAAGAAATACTACCGGAATGTTATCAGGACCGGGACCGGCGTCTTTCCTTAAGCAGTTAATGGCCTCAGAAACCTTGTCACTGGTAAAAACGATTGAAGTTAATCTGTTGTTGGATCTTGTTGATTCAGGAAGTTTCGGGAGCTCTGGAACATCGTCTCTTGAGAAAACTCTGGTGAATTGTTGTGCAAATTTTTCTGCTATCGCATAATCATCCGTAATTGGAGCTCCTGTGGACAGATCTTTTAAAGTAATTTTGGAGACTGTTGTATTAAGAGTGCGTTTTACGTATTTGAAAAATTGTTTGTTGTCGTTTGATGATGCAATTCTTTTTTCAAAGTCCCTCCGTGCTTCCCGGATTTTGTTTTTGAGTTGGTTGTTCTGAATTCTATACACGGAGTAGTTTTGTTCACTTGGAGAATTTCTGTAAATGTCCCATAGTCTTCTTTTTTTGTTGATCTTATTGAATAAATAAATGTTTAACCAGGGTTTTTTTGGATTGACTTTAGATGATATTAATGGGACATATTTGGATATAGCCTGCTGTAGTATGTTAGTGAATGTCTCATATTTGTTTCCTGATGGACGTGTTGTATCAAAGTCTTGTTGGCTTAAATAAAAGTTAATTTCATGGTAGTCTGCTTTCCAAAAATTTTTTTTGGTGACTTTACGGGTTGGTTTATCTCTGCATTTGAGCTTTGATTTAGCCGTGATCACAACATGGTCACTGTGGCCTATTGGTGCATCATGGTTTATATCAAAAACTAGCCTTTTGTCATTGACCAGAATGAGATCAAGTAACGATTTTTGATCATTTCTAAAGCGAGTTGGAAAGTTTACAACCTGATAAGCATTCATTAAGTGGTAATTTTCCAAGAAAAGTTGATTTGATTTGTCTGATTTATATAAGCTCAAATTTTTCCAATTTATTTGAGGATAATTGAAGTCTCCTACGATAAATACCGGAATTTCCAGAGAACACGCCTCTGTTATGGCTGAAATCATTTCTATATCAGTTTCTTCTGTGGAGTATTCTGTTCTATAGATGCAACATAACAACAGATTTAGGTTGTCAATTCTTACATCAATCCATAAAGATTCAACAGGAAGGGTTGTTGTGTATTTTGTTGATATGCATGAATGTACTTTGTGACCACTGATTTCCTCTTTGATGTAAATACATATCCCACCCCCTGGTAGGCCTCTGTCTTTTCTGAATAGGGTGTATCCGGCTACACTAATTAAGCTGTCGTCTAATCGATTATTGAGCCAAGTTTCCGTTATGAATATAAATGTAGGTTGGTTCTTTTGAATTGACGCTGCCCATTCTCCAGTTTTGTTTGTTAAAGACTGTACATTGTTATACCATAGGGCGACTTCAATGTTGTTTGAAATGTTTAGTTTTTTGAAACATTTCTGGTGATGATAATTTTTGGTGTAGAGTTAAAATATTTTATCCTTAAGTTTTCTTCACCTTGTTCTGTTCGTTTTTTGAGCTCTTCAATAGTTTCTTTCAGGAAGTTTCTTTGCATTGGCGTTAAATCAGCCTTTACATAGATCCCTGTAGAAGAATCGAGTGACTTTTTTTGTTTTAATATGTTCAATGCCTCTTGTCTACTAGAAAAAATTACCTTTACTGGTCTTATCCTGTTTGCTTCTGCTCTTCCCAGTCTAAAAGTTTTGATAGATCCTGTTGGCACACTATTGTTGATGCTATTTAGAATGCTTTTTACTTTGGTGACTTCTACTTCCGATTTCTGATCTGCATTTACTTCAGTTTCTTCCAATCCGAAAATTAATATATTTGTTGCACGTCTTTCGCGCTCTGACAGCTCCTCAAGTGTTGGTAGGATATTAGTATTTGCCTCTTTAACGGGTCTAATATTTTCCACTTTTTGTTCGAGTTTGTTTATGTTTCCTTGTAGCGACTCAAACTGCTTGGGCGTTTTTGCTACGCTTGCATAGGTCTGATTGGTCTTATTAACAGCTGTTTTCAGCTGCTCTAATTCTGATTTCATGTCTTCAACTTGTGATTTCAAGACTGGTACAAGGTTTGTAGTTTCCACTATTTCTTTGATATTTTCTTGAATAGTTGCAACATCTTGTTCGACTTTTGGAAAAGCCTTTAGTGGTTGTATACACTTTGTACATAAATAAGAAATAACTCGTTCTTTCAGCTCAATAAATCTGATTTCAGTTGTGGACCATTTTTCACAAATTTCACATAAAACTTTTTTACAGAGGTCACATGGGGATGCAAAGGGCAGATTTGGAAGAACTCTTTCCTTAGATTTCCCAGTGCATTTAATTTTACATTTAGCACAATTCATCTTTCCAATTTGTTTAGATATTTGTAGCACCCTGTAATGCACCGGTTTTATTTTCAAATAGATAATAAAATATTGCTGCACAAGGTCAAGACAAGAATGCAGGTCCTTTGCCTATCGGTTTTTTTTTATTGTAATACTTTCAATAGATTAATTTGTTTTGGGCTATTTTTCTAGTTTAAATTGATTGAATAATAGTTTATTTTATGCACTAATAAAGAGTTTTTATATAGCTATTT